AGTTGCACCTAAGGATTAGAAAAGGTCAGGGAGCAAGCCACTGAGGGGGAGTCCTGGAGAGAGTCAGTCAGGAAAAGTCAGAAGACAAGAGATCGTCTCTGGGGAAAGCTGCCGTGAGCAGAATGCTCATGACAGGCCTTCCCTAGGAAGAGGGAGGAATTGGCTGGGAGACTGTATGTTTGAGACCTGGGCACAGGGCCGGCTCTAGGCACCAGCAAAACAAGCTGGTGCTTGGGGCGGGGCATTTTTTTGGGGGGCGCCTTTCGGCGCCCGCCCATCCCCCCCCAAAAAATGTCCCGCCCCAAGCACCAGCTTGTTTTGCTGGTGCCTAGAGCCGGCCCTGTGCCCAGGTCTCAAACATACAGTCTCCCAGCCAATTCCTCCCTCTTCCTAGGGAAGGCCTGTCATGAGCATTCTGCTCACGGCAGCTTTCCCCAGAGACGATCTCTTGTCTTCTGACTTTTCCTGACTGACTCTCTCCAGGACTCCCCCTCAGTGGCTTGCTCCCTGACCTTTTCTAATCCTTAGGTGCAACTCCGCCCTCTTAATTGGCCAAATGGAACACCTGCTCTGGCATACAGGCGCTGGATCTGCTTCATTCGCAATGGCCAGCCACCCTTTGACAAGGAAACTCACAAAATCTATGATCAGTAGCTTTGGAACGGTTGGCAATTGACCATTATCAGGAGATTTGAACTTCTCAGTGGCATAATCTATGTTGAATTTTAAGACAGCCAAAGACATACAAAATGAAGGCAGGGGTGTCACATGGTGACAGGGGTTATACACCTCTACCCCAATATAATGCTGTCCTCGGCAGCCAAAAAAATCTTACCACGTTATAGGTGAAACTGCGTTATATTGAACTTGCTTTGATCTGCCGGAGTGCACGGGCCCGCCCCCTCGGAGCACTGCTTTACCGCGTTATATTCGAATTCGTGTTATATCGGGTCATGTTATATCGGGGTAGAGGTGTACTTTGCTGTAAAACTGCATCTTTAACATGATTTTTAACCATTGCTAACAATTGCCATAATAACTATTATTTTAGAGCATCCAGCAGTGCCATAGTATGGTACTTTACAATGGCAACAAAGTCAAAGAGTTTACAGTTTAGTTGAAATACAAGACCATCCGCAGCGTACCAAAAGAGCAGAAACTCCACTTCCAGGAAGCTCAGAACTCAGCGGCACAACTAGATTTTTAAGACATAGCCCAATTTTTTTTAAAACGCCTTACTTAATGAAAAAATACCTAATATTCACTGGACACCCACTAGGTTGTTTTGTTTTGTTTTTCCAAAAGTCTCAGCTTTACAAAATGATTCGTTTGAATCAAATCTATTCAACACAGGAGAGTTCATTTGATGTAATTTTGTAGGGGGCTGGAGGGAGGGGATGATGCTGGAAACTAGCTACAATTAAACATTTAGCCTACATTCACTGAGCAAAACAATTTGCAAAGCTGAAAAGAGCAGCTTCACTAAGTATCATAATATATTATTTGACAGAAAGTTTTCCTCAGCCTTGATATCCACAATAAAGGGTTGTCCGGGCAACACTGTGAAGTGTCATGCAAAACACCTGAGCCTAGAAATGATTTTGTCAATACTGCTCAATAGGCTGACAGACCACAAATAGGTTGATTTTCGCTTTTCTGGGCCAAATACAGTTTACATCACTGCTGAACACCTGCTACTGGATGATCCACAGAGTGGCATTGATGAAAGAACTGAAGGAAACAACGAATCTAGTCTGACCAGCTTCAGAGAGACGTTTAATGATAATTTTAGTGGAAAAATGGAAGCCTAAAATGAAAGGGAGATAAAATACATCAGTCACCCCCAAACTCAGAATCATTCACCATACTGCGGGGAGCTCTGAAGAGTAGTAGCCTGGTTGGCATGCTGAAAGGGTACTAGGAGGTCTTTGCTTGGATATGTAAACTGCCTGATGTACAAAATGTCGCAAAATGTAATGTTAAATGGGAAATCATCATTGAGTGGGTGTGTTTCCAGTGGGATGCCCTGAGAATCAGTTTCTGACCATATGCTATTGAACATTATTATCAATGACATGGAAGAAAACAAAATCCTCATTGATAAAGTTTGCAGATGACACAAACATTGCAGGAGTGGTAAATAATTAAGAGGACAGGTCACTGATACAGAGTGATCTGGATATTAGCCAAGATATTAGCCTAGCTATGAGCCAGGAGGAGCAGAGATGGTGTCCGTAGCCTCTATTTGCCAAAAGCTTGGAAGGGGTGACAAGCGATGGATCACTTGATAATTACCTGTTCTGTTCATTCCGTCTGAAGCACCTGGCATTGGCCACTGTCGGAAGACAGGATACTGGGCTAGATGGACCTTTGGTCCGACCCAGTATGGCTGTTCTTATGGATAGTTTGGTAAGCTGGACACAAGCTTACCAAGCAAAAAAGATGCATTTTAATATGGCTAAATGGAAATGTATACATCCGGGAACAAAGACTGTAGGCTACACTTAGAGGATGGGGGACTCTATTCTGGGAAGCAGTGACTCTGAAAAATGGGTTGTGGTGAATAATCAGCTGAACATGAGCTCCCAGTGTGACACTGTGACCAAAAGAGCAATCCGGGGAGGCACCCCGAAGAATCTCAAGTAGGAGTATGGTGGTTATTTTACCTTTATATTTGTCACTGGTGCGACCACTACTGGAAAACTGTGTCCAGTTCTGGTGCCCACAATTCAAGAAGGAGGTTTATGAATTGGAGAGGGTTAGAGAAGAGCCACAAGGATGAATTAAAGGATTAGAAAATGCCTTGTAGTGATAGACTCAAAGAGCTCAATCTATTTACCTTACTGAAGAGAAGGGGTGACTTGATTACAGTCTATATCTATCTACATGGGGAACAAATATTTAATAATGGTCTCTTCAGTTTAGTAGAGAAAGTTGGCTGGAAGTTGAAGCTAGATAAATTCTGAATAGAAATAAGGCATACATTCTTAAAGGTGAGAGTAATTAGCTATTGGAACAATTTACCACGGGTTGTGGTGGATTCTCAATCACTGACAATTTTTAAATCAAGACTGGATACTTTTTAATAAAAAAGATCTGCTCTAGGAATTATTTTGGGGAAGTTCTGTGGCCTGTGTTATATAGGAGGTTAGACTAGATGCTGACAGTGGTCCCTTCTGCCCTTTGCATCTAGGAATCTATAAACAAAGTAACAGGCTTAACGAATTTTATATTGAACCGAATTAACATTTCAGTTAGGCCTGAAGAGTACATGATTATACAACGGAGACTCAGTGATATAACCCCAAACCACCAGTTAGTGACATCTCAGCTTAGACTTGCAGGGCCGGCTCCAGGCACCAGTTTGCCAAGCAGGTGCTTGGGGCGGCCACTCTGGAGAGGGGCAGCACGTCCAGCTATTCGGCGGCAATTTGGCGGACGGTCCCTCACTCCCACTTGGAGCGAAGGACCTTCCGCCGAATTGCCGATGCAGATCGCGATTGTGGCTTTTTTATTTTTTTTTCCCCCCGCTTGGGGCAGCAAAAACCCTGGAGCAGGCCCTGCTCACTTGTACTCCTTAGAATAGCTTGTGACATTTGATTTTCTGTGCTCAAAGAGCCACATTTTTAAAGGTATTTAGGCATTTAAAGATGAAGATAGGAACCTACTGGGATTTTCAGAAGTGACTAGCTGCCTAACTCCTAGGGTAATCAATGGATGAACAAAACAATGAACAATTGTTAAAACACTGGCAGAAATCCATTGGAGGAAGGACCTGGACAATTTTGAAAATCTCACTAGTAGCCTATCTGAATC